CTGAGTTCCTACTACGTGCCAGGCACCACCTCCGTTCTCTATGTCTGTGTCATCATGTTTTGATGACTACAGTGACGTTCTTGGAGTGCCCTAGAGTTGCTTTCGTGCACTCAGCAGCTCAGTCATGTCCGACTCTTTGTGACCCTCTGTCCAGGGAATTCTCCAGACAAGAATACTGGAGGGGGTTGCCACTCCCTCTTCCAAGGAATCTTCCCCACCCAGGGACTGAACCCACATCTCTTGTGTCTCCTGCATTGGCGGGCGGATTCTTGACCACTGCACCACCAGGGGAGCCCAGCGTATTTCTGGGAGTCCCCAGAAAGACGCCTCCTGTGAGCCCTTACGGCCGTGGGCACCACAGCAGGGCGGTCAGCGCTTCCCCTCCTGTTCTGGCTCTCAGGGGTCCGTGCCCCCGGCTCACCAAGAACTCAGAGAAGCCTCTCGTCGCAGTGGCTGACTGTGCCAAGCAAACTCAAAGGGCCCAAGAACTTACAAGTCATCCTTGAGTAGCACAGATAGACTCTGAGCCCCGCAGCGCTCTCCACGCTCCTGGGAGACCGCGGCCTTCGGACTCCTTTCCTCTCCTTTCCAGCCTCTCCGCAGCCCTCTGCCCTCCCCTGGTTACTGATCACACACGCCCGTGCACTGGAATGGCGGTGCGTAGACACAGACATGGGGCTGGAGGCAGGGGTCTCCATCGGCAACAGCCCACCAGCAGGGGTGAGGATACCGTCTTATTGTAACCCTCACATCAGCCATGTGACCGACCATTAGCCACCCTATTTTGCAAAATGGGGAAACTGTCGCTCAGAGAGGGTTAGTTGTTTGTCCAGGACTCCATAGGCAGTGACGAAGCACTCAGATGAGCTCAGTAAATAGTTGCTAACATACAAAATTGAAAATATGGAGTCAGGAGAAGCTCACCAGCTTCTGGGAACTTTAGGTCCTGCAGGGGGTCCAACTATGTGATAAAAGGGAACTGTCAATTGAGGCTACCCCTCAGGGTGGGAGAAGGGGCAGAGATGGGGAATACAAGGTGAGCTCCAAGGTCAACTCCTTCTGAACCCAATTCTGCTGGATACATGTTGCTATATAATCCACTTTCGGCCAGAAACTCACCACACCTCCCCCCAACCTGGGCCCCACTCCCCAAAAAACCCCTTGTAGAAACGGTTAAGTGGACATACGTTAGCTGTAGGACGCTCAGGATGTCAACACATTAGAAGGGAGGGGCAGTGGTAACAGCAGGCAAAGAACCTGGACTTGGAACCCAGGGACAAGCTTCTGTTCCTGGTAACCAGCTAGGTGCCCTCAGGCAAATTATTTCCATTGTCCACCTTCAGTTTCCTCATATGCAAAATGGGAAATGTCAGTCGCCTCCGTCAAAATGTTACTGGGAGGATTAAGCTAAGTAATCCAGTGTTACTATTATATAGAGAGAGCTTCAAATCACAAAGGGCTTCTACATGGACACCTGGCAACCCTCAGAGCAACCCAGAGGAGTATTATCCCCACTTTTCAGTGAGAGAAAAATCCAAGACTCAGAAAGATTGGAACTCACTGGCAAAACAGTGAGTGGTGCGATAAGCCTGGCCCCACCACGTCTAACTTTCAGGTCCTGCAGCCCCAAGGGGTCTGCCCCAGAGTCCCCGTCTGGGCTGAGTGTCAGTCACCAGGTAAGCAGGAAAGGTCTGCGCTCCTATCTGGCACCAGGGATCGTGCCCAGCACTGATTACTCCACTGCAGCGCTCCTAGCGGGGCAGAGAGCGTGGTGTCAGCTAAGGAGGAACAGTCTCTGTGACGGGTGTTTCCAGGTGGGGAAGGACAAGGTGACATAGGAGGAGACAGACACAGAAGGGAAACCTGCAAGAATGAGGAAGACACGCGTGCGTGCTAAACTGCTTCAGTCCCGTCCGACTATTTGCAACCCTTTGGACTGTAGCCCACCAGGCTCCTCTGTCCATGGGATTCTCCAGGCAAGAATACTGGAGTGGGGTGCCATCTCCTCCTCCAGGGGATCTTCCCAACNACTATTTGCAACCCTTTGGACTGTAGCCCACCAGGCTCCTCTGTCCATGGGATTCTCCAGGCAAGAATACTGGAGTGGGGTGCCATCTCCTCCTCCAGGGGATCTTCCCAACCCAAGGATCAAACCCGCGCCTCGTACATCTCCTGCATTGGCAGACGGGTTCATTAGCACCAGCACCACCTGGGACGCCTTAATGAGTAGGACGTCGCCTCATAAACCAGGGAACGGGGTTCTCACCTCAATGTGGGGAAGAACTTGGTATTTGGTACGAATGAAGCCCAAAGTGGGAGAGGGAAGCGGAGAGAAAGGAGGCCAGAGGGTTAGCGAGGGCCAGAGCCTGGAGGCTGAGAGAGCTGGGTGAAGGACTTTGGACCTCGTCCTTAATAAACACAGAGCTGCCTGAGTGCTTTCAGCAGGGAAGTGGGTGATATTTTTGGAAGATCTTCTGGCTGGGATGTGGAGACTGGATTTGAGCCCGGTGAGACTGGAGGCAGGTAGGCCAGCTAGGATGGAGACAGACGCAAGAATTGAAGCAAGAAGTAACGGTGGTCTGAGCTTGGGACGGGGCCATGGAGATGGAGAGAAGGGCAATCTCTGAAACAGACTGAGGGCATGGTGACTGACGGGGCATGTGAACGTCAGGAGGGAAGCGGGGGAAGGAGTCAAGCATGATACCAGCTTGTATCTGGCCTGTGCAACTGGTGAGTGGAGGTGTCCCTTATTTGACAAGGGGAAATTTGGGGCAGAATATCTGCTATTTGTCAGGTGTATCCTGCATGAGCCTGCACCCCAAATTCACCCAGGGACCTATAAATTATGTCTGTCTTGCCCAGAGGAGAAGCAATGGATGAAAAGATCCTGCTAACTTGAGAATGCCTGAAGAACTATGGACAGAGGTTCACAACATTGTACAGGAGGCAATGATCAAAACCATCCTCAAGAAAAAGGAATACAAAGCACAATGGTATCAATATCAATAACCTCAGATATGCAGATGACACCACCCATATGGCAGAAAGCAAAAAGGAACTAAAGAGCTTCTTGACGAAGGTGAAAGAGGAGAGTGAAAAAGCTGGCTTAAAACTCAATATTCAGAAAATGAAGATCATGGCATCCAGTCCCATCAATTCATGGCAAATAGATGGGGAAACAATGGAAACAGTGACAGACTTTATTTTGGGGGCTCCAAAATCACTGCAAATGGTGACTGCTGCCATGAAATTAAAAGACATTTGCTCCTTGGAAGAAAAGCTATGACCAACCTAGACAGCATATTAAAAAGCAGAGACATCATTTTGCCAACAAAGGTCCATAATAGTGAAAACTATGGTTTTGCCAGTAATCATGTACGGATGTGAGAGTTGGACCATAGAGAAGGCCAAGCACTGAAGAACTGATGCTTTTGAACTGTGAAACTGGAGAAGACTCCTGAGAGTCCCTTGGACTGCAAGGAGATCAAACTAGTCAATCTTAGGGAAATCAACCCTGAATAGTCATTGGAAGGAATGATGCTGAAGCTGAAGCTCCAATACTTTTGGCCACCAGATGCCAGGAACCGACTCATTAGAAGAGACCTTGATGCTGGGAAAGATTGAAGGCAGGAGGAGAGGGGATAACAAAGGACGAGATGGTTGGATGGTGTCACTGACTCAATGGACATGAGTTTGAGAAAGCTCTAGGAGATGGTGAAGGACAGGGAAGCCTGGCGTGCTGCAGTCCATGGGGTTGCGAAGAGTCAGACACGACTGAGCGACTGAACAACAACAAACTTGAGAATTCTACTTGCCAGCAGCCAAGGTGTGGATGTGTGTTGGTGGTGAAGCATCTGATACAAGGGGCATCTGGTTCTTCTGGAGCAAGGGCATTGGTCTCCCTGGGTCTCCAGCAGGCTTCCTGTTCCCTCAACCCAGCTTCCCTTTGATTATTTAAGAGCTATTTGTCAAGGGCATACCATGTAAAGCACCTTCATAGATGCAGAGGGAGAAACCATAAGAGCTTATAACCTAGAAGGTACGAAAAGACATCTAATCACAAAAGTAACTACAGGTCCACATGAATAGGATTAATAGTCATAAATGGCATAGGGAACATGTTCCCATGAGGCCGTGGTCATGAACACTTCTGAATGGGAAAACAAGGGAGGAAGTGGCATTCAACCTGGTTGTAAAGGAGAGGTGGAATGTCTACAGGCATAAACGTGGGATTGCAGTAGGCAGGTATTCCTGAAAGAAGAAAAAGCATTAGCAAAGATGGCAGCGGGCACAGGCAGTCGCCAGCCCCATCTCCTGCTGTCTTAGGGTACTGGCAGAGGGGGAGTCCTGAAGCCAGGGTGCAGGGAGCTTTGACAAGTCTGAGAATTCCCTGATGGTGCAAAAATTATGTTTAGGGATGAATGTGCACTTTTCTGGAGAGAGGGCCCACAGCCCTCCTACAATTCTCTGAAGGCTCTAGAGTTGAGAAAAGGTGTTATTTCACAGGTGGTTCTGAGGCATCTAAAGAAATCAGTCCTGAATATTCACTGGAAGGACTGATGCTGAAACTGAAGCTACAATACTTTGGCCACCTGATGGGAAGAACCGACCCATTGGAAAAGACCCTGATGCTGGGGAAGATTGAAGGCAGGAGGAGAAGGGGACGACAGAGGATGAGATGGTTGAATGCCATCACCGACTCGATGGACATGAGTTTGAGTAAACTCCGGAAGCTGGTGATGGACAGGGAGGCCTGGCGTGCTGCAGTCCATGGGGTCTCAAAGATTCAGACACGAATGAGCGACTGAACTGAACTGAACTGAGGCATCTGTATGTTTGTTTTAAAAAAGAAACCTCCTTCAAGAACTGTGCAGTGCACCCCTCCGGTCTCGAGACAGGCCCAAGAAGGCCCTGAAATGGTAGCTCACACGGCCTTCCCTCCCTGTGCCCACCCTTGCCCCCCGCCCCACCTCCATTCTACGAGTGGTCACCATGCTCACCAGTCTCCACCGCCCTGAGATCAAATGGGAGGCAAGGTCAGAGCGCCAGACGGGAAAATCGGGGACTCACGCAGAGGCTCTGTGATCTTCTTCGGAGACAGCGCGGGGCGCGGCGAGGCGGTCGTGCAGCCCCTGGCGGGGAGGGGGCGGCAGCTGGAGGTAAGAGTGGGGCCGCCGATCGGGTGGGAGCGGCGCGGCGGCCAGGCCTGCGGCCGGTCTCCGGGAGCCCCGGGCAAGGCTGGGGGGGCTCCCCTACCCGGCCCTGGGGGGGCGATGCTCCGGGCCCACCGCGATCGGGCCGCCCCCACGCCCGCTGCGGCGCCGGCCTCCCGCCGCAGCTGCCCTGGCCGCGTGGGTGGAGCAGACTGGGGCCGGGTTCTGCCCCGGCCGGCACCCCCGCACCCCGGGCTCTTGGGGGGCCCGGGGCCAGCAGGGCGGGGGAGGAGGATGATCAGCCCCCACCCCCACTCCGGGGCCCGGCCCGGGAGCCCCTGCCCACTCCTCACCTTCCGCTTCTGGGCTCCGCAGTGGGCGTGGTGACCCCCTCTGCTGCAGAGGGGGGCGCCCCGGAGTTGAGGAAGGCCGTGGGGGAGGAGAGCGCAGAGACAGGTGGTTGAGGGGGCGAGCGACGGTGCGGGAAGGCTTGTGATCTTAATGCGTATTTCTTTCTCGCCCCTTCTTCGCGGTGGGGTAGGAGGGGCGGGGGGCGCGGAGGTGCGCGTGGAGGAGGAGGCGGGAAGGCCAGAGGCTTTAGGTTCAGGAGAGGCAGGCGCAGCCAGAGATGCCACTGGGCGAATGTCCCTGTTCAGTGCCCACCGCCCCCCAAATTAATGAAGTGGGTGTGGCGGTGCAGGTAGGGGAGTTGGATGAAGGCTGGGCCCGGAACTGCCCGGAACTGGCCGCGGCCGGCGGCCGGGCTCCCCGCTGCGTGTCTGGGAGCCGCGTGCACTGAGCGCTCTGCAGCGGCTGGGGGTGGGGGCGGCGGGTGGCCGTGCCCTCGTCCTCCTGGAAGCTTCAGCCCCGGGGACAGCTCCGGAGACGGGGGCTGGAGAAGGACGTGGGGGTGGGGCCGGTGTCCGGAGGGGAAAAGAGGTCTCCAGGCCTGCAGACTAAGTTCCTAGGTGGTGGGTGGGCCGGGAGATGGTGGGAGGTGGGAGCTAAGCAGGTAATGTCCTTAGGACCACCCACCCCCTTCCAGCTTTGTCTGTAGCCATAGACCAAAATTTGGGATTTGGCATTTGCCAAATGTGCTTAATTTTTTTTTCTCTTTCCCTTTCGGTTTGTTTTGTTTTTTAGAGGAACGGCAAATGACAGAGCAGAGGGAAGGCTGGCCCAGCCAATCCCGGAGCCGCTGCAGCACCGGTTCCCCACACATTGCGGTGCAGGGACAGAGAGGAGGGGGCGGCTGGCCCCCGCGCCTCCCCTGCCCAGGGGCCCCCTCGCGCTCTCCGGGGAGAAGGGCAGCTGGACAGAGGCTGCCGGGGCCAGGGTGCGAGGGTGCTGCCGCCCCTCCCTGCTGCCCGGCGTGGGAAGAGGAACGCGGAGCCAGGCAAGTCTCCCTCTGTGTCCTCTGGGGTGGAAGGAGCAGGTAGAAACAGGGCTGGGGCGGGCAGCGCCCGGCCTTGCTCTGGCATCGGCGGCCAGAGAGCTGTGCCTCCAACCCCTTGGGTTTGGTTCTGCTCTCGACCCGTCCCTGGCACTTGACAGCTGCGGCGTCGACGTGCTGATTGGTGCCACCATGTTATATAACGCTTATATAATCTCCCGGGGCGAGCGCTGCGTCTCCGCTCTTGGGTCACACAGACGCTGTGTCCGTGTGGGAGTCCGCATCTGTGGAAGCTCGTGGGTGGACCGACACCCTCATCCTCACCCTGGCTCCCTCTGCTCATCCCGGCTGTAGGTGGGGACCCAAGAGGGCCCACTCCAGCTGTCTGGAGCTGACCCGGCCGGGTTGGCCGGTCCGCGTTCCTCCTGTTCTTGTCCCTTCCATGTCCCCCTTGCCCTGTGGATCTTCTGGTGGAGTGGGTCCCATTCTTGTGCCCTGAGGCCACTTTTTTGGGGTCCCTTGGCATGGCAGATGCCACGGGTATGGTGAGATGACTCCCCAGAATGTTGCAGTGGAAGAATATAAGGTACATAAGGTTGGATAAAGAGAGCGAGAAATTGAGGTTTTGAGCAAGAGTGACTAGAAGGATGGGATGATGGCGGCCTTCTAAGAAATTTGGAGCTGGCCTTGGAGCTAGAGGATGGTCAGGGAAGGGTGTACAGGGAAGGGGATCAGACAGCAAAGATAAACATGGTGTTCTTTTACTGTACTCTCCACTGGGCTGTCCCTGGTTACCAGGGCAACAGAAGCAGTGATGAAAATCATGCCTTTCGTTCAGTGGAAAAATCTGGCTCCTCCTCCCGCCTCTTCCTTCTCTAATCATGTGCAACCTATCGGAGGAGTGATGGCTCCAGGGATCAGAGACCCCAGCGCGTTCATATCAGGCCCCCTCCTTCCCCATTTTTGGTCATCTTTCCCCTTCCTGCGTTCCCCATCTCCCCCAGAGCTCAATAATTGGCAGTTGCGGAGGAGTTGGACTGGATGGAGGGGGAAGGGCATGGACGTCATTGCAGGGCAGGGTGAGCAGAGCAGAGCGCGTGGGCAGCGATATGGATGCAGGAATGACTGGCACACGAGGAGGGTCAGGCATCGATTAGCTGGATGGAGCTCGTGCCTGGGATGGTAGGAGCTGGGGGCGGGAGGGTGGGGGCAGCGATGGAAGGCCTGGAGAGCGTGGTGGTCTGGGTGCGCAGTGGTGGTAGGAAACGGGAAGGCCCTGAGGTTTCTGGTGTGGCCGTGGCTCCCAAGGAAAGCTCGAACTCATTCATTCAGTGCTTTTTAGGGTGCCTCCCATGTGAGGTAAGGTTCTGGGAACTGGGAAGACACAGGTCAGTAGGACTGGACTTTGACCTTGAAGAGATCATGGTGGATGAGAGTGGGATACGTCTATGGGGGAAGATCAGCTGGCATGGTTACAAGCCTAGACTCTGGGGCTCCAGGCAGGAGACTGGCAATATTCCAGACGGGAAGTGATAGATTAAGGTGGAGCCTGTGAGAATGTGAGGAAGAGGTAGTTCGCAGAGCCCTCTTGACTTGGGGACAGGACACGGGCAAGAGAAGGTGCTGATATTTTGAGCTTTCGTGATTGATAGAAGTAGCAAAATCAAGGTTCCAACTTGCTTGGGAGAGTCATGTTTGATTTGCCTTTGGACATACTACCCAAGACAACGGCAGGGTGTCTGAGTAGAAATATTTATGGTCAGGCAAAGAGAATTTGCGATGAAAATCTGTCCTGGGAAGAGATTTGGAGGAAACCGTATTATTACGAAGCTTTGAAGGTGTGAGGTTGCTGTGGAGGTGTGGAGAGAGAGATCCCAGAGCCTAGGACATGGGCCTTGGGCTGGGTGAGGCTCTGAGCCTGGTACTTGTTTATTACCAGGGCCCGCCTAGACTGCTGGACCAGATTTCTGCTAATGAACGCCCACGTCTCCTACCAAACCACACCCCTTTTTGAAGTTCAGGTTTCTGTTTGAGTTTTCTTTTCCCTGGTAACTATGTCCAGGAGGATATGTCCTGGAAAGATAGATGCGCACACTTACCTAACCAAGGTCTCTCCTTGACCTCAGCTCTACCGTTCGCTTGTAAATTCTGAGAGGCCCTGGCCTGTGCTACGGAGAAGCGCCATATGCCTTCAGCCTCCACCAGCAAGGCTGTTCTTTCTGGCTCCTTTCCAGTCACCACTGCAGGAATAAGCGCGCTCGACAGAGGCCTTTGCCAGCACCATGATCGTGAACACTTCACTTCCTTTTCCAGGCTAAGGCCTAGCCTAAGCATCTAGTTTCTTCTAGCTCTGAAGCCTTCAGGTAGGACGTCCAGTTTTTTCCCTGCGTTTGCCCAGGTTTCTGTTGAAGATCAGGCATTTGAAACCGGCAGCCCAGGTTTCTTGGTGCCTTGTGGGAGGGGGTGTGGGAGAAATGGAGCCCTGGCCCCTAGAGCAGGCCCCTGTCTCCAGAGTGGGTGGGAGCCTTGCAAGTAGCGGGTGGCCCCTGTTCTTCTTGGGAGCATGGAAATACTAGAAAGGTAGTTTTTCCCCAGCGACCAGGAGTGGGCCAACTATGGCCTGTGGGCTGATGCCTGCTTTTGTAAATAAAGTTTTATTGGCACACAGGCCCACCATTTATGTCTATGGCTGTTTTCACGCCGTGTTGGTACAGCTGAGTTGTCGCAACAGAGACCGTATGACCTGCAAGCCTGAAGTCTTTACTGTCTGGCCTTGCAAGAAGAAAAAGTGTTCACGCCTGTCCTAGAACACCAGAAAAGTGCTTGAGTCACCACTGAGGCTGCTTACAATGGCCAGATTCCTGGGGTACTTGAGGATTATGCTTTGGGCCTTCCTTGGTGATCCCGTGAGAGGATGAGGCAGGTTCTTAGACTCAGCCCCAAGATCGTGCTCCTGTGTCTGGGAAGCCCCTTCGGTTTGCATCCTTTTTCCTGAAGCCTTTCTGCCCGCAGCCCCCCAACCCCCACACATACCCTTCTTTGAGCCCAGAGGCCCGAAGTCCTTGTCAGGGATGGCTTGGGGCCCTGGCGTGACAAGCTACCTCCCCCCTCATTTCTCAGGCCCCTGCAGAGGAGAGGGGACCAACGGGTGTCTGGTGAGGAGGAGGAGAGGCTCGCTGGTTCTGACAAGCCCCGCGGCGTGGTTCTCCTGGTAGCTTTGCCTTGCCGCTTCTCGCCTCCCTGTGCCCTTTCGTCCGGAGGCCCTGGAGATGCATCTGCAGAGAGGGTCTGCAGCCCAGCGGGGTCTGTCTGCCGGAGCCTGGCCCCGCCGCCTGGGGTTGGTGGGGTATGTGCCTGGGTGGCTGGAGGCCAAAATCCCAGTGCTCGGGATTCTTGCAGCCGACCGTATCGGGTCCTCTCGGGTCCCGCTTTCTACCTTTTTTTGACTCGGTCCTCCAACTGGAGACTCAGGGGAACTCCTGACGAGGAACAGGATGAATTTCAAATTCTCCCTTTTACGAAACAGCAGCAGCAGGGC